GTGCCCCTTGCCGTCCCATGGGGAGTTCGGGGGGGGGCGGCCTTAGGTTGAAGCTCCAGGCTCTGGTTGGCTTGTTCTAGGAATCTCTGTCTGAGCTTTTCTGCACCTGCCTCAGTTTCCCTGCTCTCTTCCTCTGCTGTTTTCCTCTGTCTTTTTTCTTTTGCTTTTGTTTTTGTCTTGAAAACGCCTGGGCCAGAGTAATTCTGGAAGTGTTCTTTCTAAATGTTATTTTTATATGTAGGCATCCTTCGTCTTCCATAGATCGTGTTCCTGAATCACTGCCAGGAGTTTGGAGCAAACTTTTACTTAAAAGCCAAGCCAGCCAAATATGTTGGAGACCCACACAATGACCCAGGATGACCCAGGCTTGCCAAGGGGGTGGCCATGGTGGCAGCTGATCATGCTGGAGACCCACACAATTGGTCCTTCGAGCAAATCTGTGGCCGTGTCGTTGGTGTGCACCGTGCAATCCCATGGGGAGTTCGGGGGAGGGGCGACCTTAGGTTGAATCTCCAGGCTCTGGTTGGCTTGTTCTAGGAATCTGTATCTGAGCTTTTCTGCACCTGCCTCAGTTTCCCTGCTCTCTTCCTCTGCTGTTTTCCTCTGTCTTTTTGCTTTTGCTTTTGTTTTTGTCTTGAAAACTCCTGGGCCAGGCGTTATTTTTATATGACAGTTCCCATTATCAGTGCACATCCGAAGGTGACATAACGAAGTCAGACATTGTGTGAGATGCTCTGGTACGGTTATGGAAACACTAAAAGCAGGCCCTTGTTAAAATTTGCTAGTTCCTGCTGCTTGGGAAACCACAACTTAGTTATGGTTCTTGCAAATCATATTTTTGAAAAGCAGTTAACAAAATAAATGCCCGGTCTTTCCTCTTACAACATGGGCTACCTTCTGAAAGACAGCAAAGAGTGCCTCCTGAAGTTAGATATTTGATGGCCATCCTGACAGAGGCCATCTGGCTTGAGAAAACCCTTGCTGTTGGCGTGGAGGTTCCTTGTTTCGTCCACCCTATTACTTCTTAGCTCTTGTCTCTCTTTCCCTCCCCCACCCCTTTTTCCATATGGACCCCTCTGCAGTTGAAGTATCAACGGGTGCTTGAGCGTTTGGAGAAGGAGAATAAAGAGCTGCGAAAGATTGTGTTGCAGAAGGATGACAAAGGCATTCATCAGAGGAAACTCAAGGTACCCCACACAAGAGCGTCCCCTCTCCAGATCCCTGGCAGCTGCCCTTGCTTGCCTGGGCCAACTTCTTCCGCAGCAAGCGTCCCCTCTGCCTTTGCCCTTTAATGTCAGGGTGGTGTTGTCTTGCAGAGGGGTTTCCGTTTGAAAGGGGGTCTTTGTGTTATGTTTCTTGCACAATGTCTGCAGAGAGTCTTTTCACAGGTTCTGTCTAGCAGAAACGTTTGTAGACTCTTCAGCCCACCTTCATAGGGAGGCCAGGCTGTCCCATCCATGAAAGCCTCTGCCAAAGAGGATTCTTTCATTTTCCAGGTTCCACCAGGTCCTGTTGCAGTGGTGGCGGTGGGGGGTGGGGGTGTTTTTCTTCTTCTTGGTCCAAATTGGAAGAAGCCGTGAGCCTCTAATGAGGCAGAATGGTGCATTAATAAAAACATCATTTGACACCGTCCCATGTCCTCTCCTCCTTGGTCAGGCGGGTGAGGCTGCAAGAAGTCTTTTTCATGTCTGGATTCAGTTCCATTCCTTGAGTTCGTAGGATCCTAGAATCCAGGGAGGGGAGGGGCCCTCTGAGGCCATCGAGTCCAACCTCTTGCTCAAAGCAGGAAGTAAATGGGAAACCTCAGCATAACTTTGGTTCTTTCTTCCTTAGAAGTCTCTGATCGATATGTACTCTGAAGTCCTGGATACTTTGTCTGATTACGATGCCAGTTACAACACCCATGATCATTTGCCTCGGGTAAGGGACCGTTCAGCAGCTTTGGAGTTACAGTGAAGGGTGGCGAAATTTCGTATTTTTCATTTAAGTTGTGAGTAGGAGAAGCAGCTCAGGACGTTTTGGCAAACGTCCTCTTAATTCTTGAACTGGAGGCAACCCCTATCTGACGTTGTTTTAAAGTAAGACAATAAAAAGGGAAAGCACAGAGGCCAGATCTGACCAGATCCCTCTTTGACCAAGTTTTCTGTTCCTTTGGTGACCAGCCACCGGCCAACAAGCAGGGTGTAAGCTCGCTTGTAGCCCCTACTTGTGTTCTCCCATCGGACCCATATTCCTATACAGTATTCTCAAGGGAGAATATAGATGGGCAGTCAGGACTAGTGGCTGTTGATAACATTTGTCTTACTTAGCTTGTCTACTCTTAACCCTGTTCCAAAATAATTGAGTGATTATGTCTTTCTGAGAAGAGTGCAGCAGCCTGTGTAAAAATCCAGTGAATGAATGTTTTTATTTAAGGTTGTCGTGGTTGGAGATCAGAGTGCTGGGAAAACCAGCGTGCTCGAGATGATCGCGCAGGCCCGGATCTTTCCTCGCGGCTCTGGAGAAATGATGACTCGTTCACCTGTTAAGGTAAAAAGCTTGAAATGCGGGGGTCGCCCAACCCAGCTCCGTTAAGAGGTGCCCAAATTCTTGACCAGTGGCTCTTTCTTTCTCCCGTTTGGCCACCAGGTTACCCTCAGCGAAGGCCCTCACCACGTAGCCATGTTCAAGGATAGTTCTCGAGAGTTTGACCTGACCAAGGAGGAAGATGTAAGTCTTAAGAAGTAGTTCGTTATCAAAAAGGGCTTAACTGTTTTCGTGACATCCACGTGGCTTAGAACGTTGGTGCATGGAAACCTCTGCACGATAAAGATGGACATTCGTGGTCTAAAGAAACCATGGTGTTTCAAGCATGGAGCATCAGGAGGGCAGTTCAGCTACCCAATCAATCACAGCGATAAGGGGATGGTTGAGGACCTGCCTTCCTGGGAGTGTGTCTGGGCTGCTCGGACATCTGTGGAAATGCTGCAAGAGTATTGGGAAGCTATAGGTATCCAGCTGAGTTAAAATTAAACAGTGCTGTTCTTGAAAACAGGTAGAAAGCTAGAAACATTAACTCTGTGGAAATGCTGCAAGAGTATTGGGAAGCTATAGGTATCCAGCTGAGTTAAAATTAAACAGTGCTGCTCTTGAAAACAGGTAGAAAGCTAGGAACATTAACTGATAAGTTTATTCTAAATTCAACCTCCCTTGGCTGTTCTCATCCAGTCAAGTAGTCCTTTGTGCCTCTGGGCCCTTTGTGTTGACAATTTACATGTCAACAGGTAGATGATTGGGGGATGTTTATTCATATCACAGCAATTCACCCAAAGGGATACAAGTGCCATCGCATTGACAGATCTGCTGTCTTGCTGGGTTCAAATGGAGTTTTTCCACATCTGGAGATGGTAAATTGGTTGATTTGATTTTTATGCTGCCCCATCAGTGAATACCCACTACTCTGGGGGGTTTACAGAATAAAAATACGAAACCCACTCACCCACCCCGATAGATCAGTGAGCCTTATTTATAGTAAATTGGTTGATTTGATTTTTATGCTGCCCCATCAGTGAATACCCACTACTCTGGGGGGTTTACAGAATAAAAAGATGAAACCTACTCAGCCACCCCGATAGATCAGTGAGTCTTATTTATTTTTCATTCATTCGTTCTTTATAATGCTTCATCTACTCTTTTCCTTTTCTGAATAAATGCCTAAAACCATTTGCAAAATAGAATCAAATGTGGCAGTAGGATTACCTTGGAAAAGGATAACCAGATAAGATGCAAGACAATAGCTGTGCCTGGTGTAGGGGAAATTGTCCACAGAGCAAACCATGTAAACACAGAAAGCTTTATTGGAGCACGTCTTCAAGAGATGGTTGAGAACAACAGGAGGAGGAACCGGAAGGTTCTTCAGGTGGGGCGGGAGGTACCACCCCCACCCTCCAGAAGAACCTGCTGTCCCTGCCTTGTAACCTTAACAGGTGAACAGGCCAGGTTGTAGAGCACAGGATGGGCCGTGCGAGCAATGCTTCCACGTACCTGGTCCTAAGCCATTTAGGGCTTTGCAAGCCTCTGTACGAACTCTTAATGAAGCCTCTATACTGGGTACAATGTGAGGATCCGTGAGCTTCCTCCAGCCTTCTGGCAGCCGCACTTCGAACCAGGAGCAGGTTCCAGACTCTCGGGTCACTTTGCAGCTGATGGCCTGGAGGGCTGCTTGGGGTCGATCCTAGTTCTCTTTGTAGACAGCCAGCTGTGCCGTGATATAGCTCAAGGAGCGGCGATCTCTCTCTTGCTTTTTTGAGTCCTTCTCCACCTTTAAGGCAAGAATGGGCCATTTTTCCTTGTCTTGCCCTGATCCACTGTGTGGACTCCACCCCGTCCCCTGCTTCAGCACCGCTATATAATTCAGTGAGGAGTGTGGTGTGAGGCTCTTCAAATGCTTGTGTCAAACAATGTTTGGCTGCCCTTGGCCGCCCTATTTCAAGGTCAAAGCACAAAAGAACCTTTAAAGTTAACCTTTCTCCTTGGTTTTTCAAAGTCTTATGGCCGTGTGTTACAGAATTTCTGCAAGGCAGTTTGTGGGGAGCGTTATTTTCAGGGTGGATTGGGACTGGGCGTAAACTGCAGGCCGTGTGTTGCCTCGCCCTGTGCTTCGACCTCTTTTGCTGGTGTGAAGGGTGTGTTCCATATGTTTAGAAGCCACCCTTTTTGTGCTTCTTGTGGTGGTAGAACACAATCCTAACCATGAGCCCCCTCAGATAAGTCGAAGGAAGGGAAGGGTGATGTCAGGCGTGAGAAGTCCCTTGGTGCTGAAGGTGCGGCTTCATCCTTTGTGCTTGTGTTGAGACAGCTGGCGGCCTTGAGGAACGAGATTGAGATCAGGATGAGGAAGAGCGTTCGCGAAGGCTGCACCGTCAGCAGCGAGGTGAGGACCGCCTGCGCTCCATCCCTTTCCGCCCCTCCTTGTGTTCCCTCTCCCCACCACCCCCTTTCCCAAGGGGCAGAACGAAGCCCGGGTTCCAGAAACAGCTGGTGGGGTGGCGGGTGGAGGCGACTGTGCCCCTCTCGGCCCCTCCGTTCTTTTGTTTGCCTGCTTCGTTCTGAAGGAGGAAATCCCTCTTCCTTGTCTCCCAACGCAGACCATCTCCCTCAGCGTGAAAGGGCCAGGCCTGCAAAGGATGGTGCTGGTGGACTTGCCCGGGGTCATCAGTGTGAGTAGGCGGGGCCTGGGACGGACTCCTCCCAAGACTTTTTGCCCAGGGGCCACGGAGGAAGGTGGGAAGGGAAGGCTCAGCCCCAGCCTCAGTTCCCCAGCTGTAAAGCGAGAGGGCTTCTGACCCCCTCTGTCGCCGGCTGCTCACGTGGGAACAGAGGAGGGAATGGTCCCCCCGAGCTCCAGGGGGACAGAGTGGGTGGAAAATCTTTGTTCCGCCTGGGATGTCACGGGCCGAGAAGGGCATTGTGACAAGCAGGAAGGGGGAAGAGTTGCTCTGGAGGCTGGTGGCGCAAAAGAGCTGGAAGGGAAAGTGCAGGAATAGGAGAGCCACCTGCTGCTGCTCCTAAATAGTTCAGTGGTCCCGTGTCATCGTTGCACTTATGAAAGGGCGAAGGGGAGGGCAGGGCTTTGTGTACTTCTATTTCCCCCCCTCTCTTCCTCCCTCCCACCAAAGGTGCCCTGGAGAACCCCTGAAACTCTGCTCTGTGCCGTGGGAGAATCCTCCCAGAGAGGATTTAGGGGCCAGGAAGAGTTTGCAAGGAGAGCGGCTGGAAGGCCACCTGGGGCTCTCAGGCCGTTACCTCCCTTTCTGTTTTATCCAGCCAGTTGGGATTCTCTTTCCTCACCTGCCTCTTGTCTCTTTTCTCAGACGGTGACCTCGGGGATGGCTCCCGACACAAAGGACACCATCTTCAGCATGAGCAAAGCTTATATGCAGAACCCAAACGCCATCATCCTTTGCATCCAAGGTAAGGAAGGGGTCAACTGGCCCACTGGAATTGTCTGGTCTCCTGGAAACCCCTCCAGCTGCCCCTTTTCCTGCCCCTTCCGTCACACACAGGGACACACATGCACGTTTTGTTTTCATATATTTCTAAGTGCTTGTGTCTAGAGTTGTAAGGCTTTTGGATGTTCTCAAAAGCTTCGAAGTATTTTTGTGTTTATGGAACATAGAAGAAATGTAGAATTAGAGAAGCGGCCCTAAGTCCTGGCAACAATGGAAATGTTTATACCTTAATACTCAGATGAATTTTGATACGGTTGGAAAGGGTTATCTGCTTCCCCCTGGAATTGCCCCTTTTCAAGGGACGAAGATCAGCGGCGCACGAACAGCTTTCTGGTTTTTCCCTGGGAGGTCTGTAGATTTCTGTAGGGCTTCTAGGAGGAAGTGGGGGCACAAGGGGTTCGCTCTACCTTTGTGGAATGAGTGGAGGGAGCGGCTTTCGCTCTTTGTCTGCCCTCGGTGCTCGGATGCTGTTGGCTCATTCTTTGCCAAGCCTCACAAGAGAGCGAATAGCAGGGTGTGTTCTGTATTTGCCGCAGATGTTGTGTTTCGTTCCCACCTTCTCTTTCACTGTGCTGTTTCCTTCTGTCTCGCAGATGGGTCGGTGGATGCTGAGCGCAGCATCGTGACTGACCTGGTCAGCCAAATGGACCCTCAGGGCAAGAGGACAATCTTTGTCTTGACGAAAGTGGACCTTGCCGAGAAGAACCTGGCCAGCCCAAGCCGGGTGAGAAGGGGGGGCGGGCCTTTGCCCAGCCAGGGCTGGGTGAGCCCCGTGGTCCCCCCAGGGTGGCACCCCGTAGGGGACAGGATTGCCGCAGGTTACCCCGTGGCTTTCTGGTGTGGGGGAAATGTGCCACGTGTGTCTGTGGATTTTGTCCAGTGTCCCTTCAGACCGTGGCCTGCAGAAATGTCGCTCAGCTCACCTGTTTAAATCAGCCGCAGCTGGGCTGCTTCTTAAAATCTGCATCTGTGGACTTGGAAAACACGGATTGTTTCTTGGGCCGTGAGAGAAAATCAACACGGTGCAGCCCCCGCCCCCCCTTGTGCAGTGTCTAGCTGAACCTTCCCCCTGAAACTCAGCTGGGACACCTGTGGTGGACACTCAGCATGGCCTCGGTGGCCGAAGAAGGCCATGCTGGCTTTCATGCACTTGGTAGAATGGGATCTGATTGCCTTCCGCAAGAGCTGACACTCGGCAAAAGCCTGTTGCGGTTTTACGGCAGAGTGGGACTGCCAGAGCCACAGGGGCAGACCGCAGGGCCCGCCTTGTGCCTGGTTGCTTGCAGGTTGCTTAATCTGTGACCGGATTAATTATCGGCAATTCACAGCTGAAGCTCAGGGGACTTCACTTTCTCCTGAGTAAAATGCCAGTAGGACTCTGACTGCCATCTTATATCTGTTAGTCTGCAAGGTACCAGAGGACTCTGTTGTTTTTGCTGCAGCGGATGCCCACGGCCTTGGCTGGCCCTTTTGTCTTGTTTAGAGAAGGGTTCAGAGGCCCAGAGTGTGATTCCAGACCCCCTTCCCTTACGTATGACTTCCTCTGCCTTGTCTTTACCTTCCTCTCCACCGGTGCTGTTCTCTGCTGGCCTCCATTTTATAGTTTGAGCAAAGGAAATCTGATAATAACAAGAGAACACTTGCATTTCTTTTCCTTTTTTTCAGATTCAGCAAATAATTGAAGGCAAACTGTTCCCAATGAAAGCTCTCGGCTATTTTGCAGTTGTTACAGGAAAAGGTGATGAGTGTTTTATTCTAATCGAGTGAGACAGGCTTCTTGAATGTATTGGGTGTTTTAAATACTTACTCTTTGTTTCTCTTCCCCCAGGAAATAGCTCTGAAAGTATTGAATCTATTAGAGAGTATGAAGAGGAATTTTTCCAAAGCTCCAAACTGCTGAAGTAAGCCCATGTTTCTTCCTGGTTTTTGAAGCATGCTTTGTTGGTTGGATGCCACCTGCAACACGTATCAGAATTTCTAGTGGCAGATGAACCCTCTGAGTTCGTCAGGAAACAAGACCTCTGTGTGACGGCGGGAAATGTGGTTTGGGATAAGCTTTAAGATTCATTGAGGTGGTCTTCTGAATGTTGGGGGCCTCCCTGAGAGAAGCAGGCTGTTCTGGGGGGCAGCTGCGGAGTTATTCCTCTGTGTGAGTCCTGTGGGAATGGACTTCTGAACTTGCCCATGTTCTCCCACTGAATGATGTGCCACTTTCATTACATGTGTCCATGAATGGCATATTTTGAAATGTCATTCACAAGAAAATGTGGCACAGGAATGAACTTTTTTTTCCTTGCAGCATGGTTGCATATGTGCTTCTTTAGAAGCCAGTCAAACGGGACCTATTCCTTAGAAAGTAAGTCCTGATCCCTGGCTTTGTTCTGCCGTCTGAAGATGATGGCGACAGAGATCAACATGATGTTGAAGACAAGAGTCCCTCCCTCTCTGTTGGGGGAATGGACGAGATTTCTGGCTTATGAGAAGTTTTTCACAGACTTAGCAAGTCTGGTGGAAGTCTTTGGATCTCCAATTAAGAGATCACAAATCTTCCTTGTTCCACGAAAAAAGGCTGCCCTCTCGGTTCAGGAGCCAAGGAGAGCAAAGCCAGAAACTCTGAGTGTTGCAGGAGGAACGCTGGGGTGCAGCTGCCCTTCTCTGTTTCCCTTCTCCTTCCTCCTGCCCCCAAGCTTTGGGACGAGGGCTTCAGTTCATGGGAATGGCCTTCCTCACCTGAAACACTCCCCTGCTTGCGGGTCTTTGCTAGGAACTGCATGCTGAAGGCCCACCAGGTGACTACGCGGAACCTGAGCCTTGCCGTCTCAGACTGTTTTTGGAAAATGGTGCGAGAGTCGGTGGAGCAGCAAGCCGATGCTTTCAAAGGTCAGGGGGCTGGGGGTTCCTGGGGGTGGCTTGGGTGGAGGGGAGGGACTGCTCTGAGAGCTGGGTGGATCCCAAAAATCCTCCTCTCCTTTGCAGGACACTCCTGGTTAGACAGGGAGCAGAACCGGGCTTGGCCTTAGAGCAGCTCCCTTTTTCTCCCTTTGATTGCTGCACAAGGCGGACACGCGATGGAGGGTGTTGCCGAAAATGAAGGGTTTCTCTTCGCAAGGAAGAGAGGGGTGGCGGAGAGAAAGGAATTGGGATTTTTGTGTGTTGGTGTGTGTGTGAGAGAGAGAGAATTGGGGGGAACGGCAAGAGGGTGCCTGTTGGATGCAGAATGTTCCAGCGTTGAGAACTGGGTGGAAGGGAGTGGAGGGAGCCGGGCCAGGAAGGCTCTCTGCCGAAGACCTGCACGAGGCATGACCAGTTTAGAGGGATCCCTCTCCCTAGACATCTGTTTCAGTCATGACTGCAGGGGCCTCAGCTTTACTCCAGAGGAATAATGCAGCTATACACACACACTCACTCTCTCTCTTTCTCTGGAAAACGTTTAGCATGGTCTTTCCTTATAATGCAGCAGAGCTGACATTTCAGGACGAAAGTTCTGAAGCACCAGCCGATGTGCTTCTCATTCGTGGGATGAAGTGCTTCTCTTCCTAACTCAGAGGCATTTGCCTTGAGCCCCCTTGCTTTATCATCCCCTGTCCGTGACTTCAGCTGCTGCTGCTGTTGTTCCAGAAGCAGGCCATGCCTGCCGTTAAGTGTTTTGTCTGCATCCAGAGGAGGATGAAGGGAGGGGGAGTCTCCTGTCCGGATAAGCGAGCAAAGCCAGGCATTGGGGGTCCCCTCTGTTCTCAAGGCGTTCTTCTTCCTCCCTTAGCAACCCGTTTTAACCTAGAGACTGAATGGAAGAACAACTTCCCCCGCTTGCGAGAACTGGACCGGGTGAGTCTCCCCCCCCCCCAAGGGTCCAGGCTGGGCTGGAATTCAGGCCGGAGGGCTCGAGGCCCTCAGGCCGGAGGGCTCGGGGCCCCTGTGGGAGCTGGGGCTTCTGTTCACAGCCCCCCCCCCTTTGTCAAAGGCCGTGGAAGTGCTGGCAGAGCAGCAGGTGGAACTGGGAGATCCATCGCTCGTCATCCCTTGATTGTTTTCCACACTGGTTGAGGGGCTTCTTTGTGCAGCCCCCTTTTCTTCAGTGGCCTGAAGAGCACCCATATGGTTCGCGGCCCTGTGACTATCACCCTTGATCTGGCTCAGGAAGTATCTCAGGTGCCACAAATCCCTTTCTCTCTCTCTCTCTCTCTCTCTCTTTAGAACGAACTCTTCGAAAAGGCAAAGAATCCCTTGATCTGGCTCAGGAAGTATCTCAGGCGCCACAAATCCCTTTTTTCTCTCTCTATCTCTCTCTTTAGAATGAACTCTTCGAAAAGGCAAAGAACGAAATTCTTGATGAAGTCATAAGCTTGAGCCAGGTGACGCCAAAGCACTGGTACAGTAATTAATGGATATGTATGTATGTGTGTGTGTGTGTGTGTGTGTGTGTGTTGGCAAGTGGGGGACACTTTTCTTTGGTTGTGGTTTTGCTGCGTCATAAGTGGTTGTGTTGAGGTTGAAGTGGATTGCCATTAATTCTCTTCTGATCCTGGGAGAATGACCTTTTTCTTATAATCCACTTGGAATACCTTCACTCTTGTTTTTTTCTTGCAAAAATGTGTATCGATTCTGTGTGTCTGAATGCGTTTGCTAAACCCTCCCTGTGGCTAGCTGCTCCTCTCTTTCGAGAAAGTGTAGTCAACATTCCTTCTAATGTCCAGCTCCCGCTGGGTGGGGCTCTGTAAGACTCTGCTTCCCTCCCCCATGTGGGTTTCTGTCGCAACTGGAACCAAAGGGGCTGGAAACGATCCCTGTGGGTGCGCGGAGGAGGAAGAGAGGCCTTGCATGGGACAGGTGGAGTTGCGTGTACTCAGGCAGCCGCGCACCTTAGGGGGAACCTTGAGCGTAGCGCATGTTTGTCCCAGGAATTGGGGAAAGCGGCCAAAGGGGTAGGGGGTGGTGCTTCTGAAAACAGATAGAAACCGTTATATGTGCGGACCTGGGAATACCCTGGGGAGAACCCAGTGTCAGGCTGGTGTCACATCTGCTGGTGGAAGGCTGTTCTGCCGTCCTGCCCCTTCCATCCTGCCCGCTCCCAAGTCTTGCTCTGGAAGGCTGTGGGACCCTCTGGAATAGTTCCTGGGTGGGGTGGGTGGGAAAGAACCAGCCGGGAAGGTTCTCTGGGCCAAGAGGAGACTCCTCTCCCAGCGCTGGATGTCATCCAGCATGCCTGCCTACACGGGAACAGAGAGTCAAGGAAAGTCAGATTACAGTTAAAGGGCTACTGTGCTTTATGTAACCCTGCCACCGATGTGGTGTATGTTCTGTGCAATTCTGCTGCTCTGGTATGACCGCTTCAGAGATTTGTTCAGGAACTGCCAGCTTGGGGTGGGGGGAGAATGCCCAGGTGAAAATCCACAGTGGCTGTTCCACAAGGCAGTCTTGCTGAGCCGCTGCCAAGCCCATATTTGCTGGCAATACAGAACTAGATGCGTTCTCAAAGCTGGGATTTCTGGCTCTGATTGTGACCAAAGGTACAGTGGTGCCTCGCTTAGCGATTGCTCCGTTTAATGACAAAATCGTTTAGCGATGCTATTTTTGCGATCACAAAAGCAACGCAGTGGCTGTTCCACAAGGCAGTCTTGCTGAGCCGCTGCCAAGCCCATATTTGCTGGCAATACAGAACTAGATGCGTTCTCAAAGCTGGGATTTCTGGCTCTGATTGTGACCAAAGGTACAGTGGTGCCTCGCTTAGCGATTGCTCCGTTTAATGACAAAATCGCTTAGCGATGCTATTTTTGCAATCACAAAAGCAACGCTTTGCAATGTTCTGTATGGGATATTTTCGCTTTGCGATGATCGCAGGGAAGCGATCATCGCAAAGCCCCCATTTCCGCACAGCTGATCGGCGGTTTCATAATGGCCGCCGGGAAAAAAAACATGCCGCCCACTGTGTTTAGGGACAGATTCCTCACTTTAGAGGCACCGAAAATGGCGGCGCTATGGAGGATCTTCGCTTTAAGGTTAGTTTTAAGCCCATAGGAACACATTGAAGAGGTTTCAATGCGTTTCTATGGGCTTTTTAATATCACATAGCGACATTTTCATTCTGCAGCGATTTTTGCGGAACGAATTAACGTCACTAAGTGAGGCACCACTGTACGCATCTCCTTGATCTCTTCCCAAGGATGTCACCCCCACCCTTGCAATGTTGTGAGTTGTGCTGCATGGGATGAACTGGAACCTCTGCACTTGGAGCAAGGAAGTGTTAGCAGATGGGTCTGTTCTGGGCAGAGAGACGAGGCCGTGAGACCAGCCATCCCTGAGCCAAAGACAATGGCAGCCGCTTCTGCTTCTACTTCCTAGAAGTCTCACTTCCTTTCTTCTTTTCTGTTTTGCTTCATTTCCTTTTACGTTTCTGTAAATAACTCCTCCAGGATTAGAAAAGTTGGCGGCCGCTTCCACCTCGAAAGAGAGGAGCTGCTTTTGAACCATCCAGGTTCGCTTAGCAAGGCTGAGTTTGCGGGATGATGGAAAAGCAGAGGGCGGGTGGGGAAGGCTGATTGGCTTCCCCAGCAGCATGGGGAGCGGCAAGGGTCCTTGAGGGTCTTTTCAGGCTAGAGTCCCCCCCTTTTTTTTTTCAGATTTGCCCACAACCCAGGGCAGCAGGGCCAGCTCTTCACATTTCCCTAAGTGGCTTTTAATAAAAAGTTTCAGCACAGTGATTGTATTCTGTCGAGGTCGCTACAATGGGTTCTTGATAACTGACAAATGGATGCAACTGTTTAAAAAAGAGGGTTTTTTAAAAACAGAAAGTGCCCCCTTGCATCTTATAGTGGCCAACATTTAAAAATCATCCTCATTACTATTGGACTTGTATTTCCTTTAATGACCTTAGAAAGCCCAAGGAGACTTTTCCTGACAGAGGGGTGAAGGGCCGTAGCTCCTCTGGCCGTGTTTGAGCTGCTCCTGGAATATCGGAAGGAGCAAACGGCAGAAGCCTGCTCCTTGGGTAGCCTTGGTGGTTGATGCTGCCCATCTTCTCCTGGGAAGAAGCCCGGGCCTCTCTCTGGCAGTGCCGACACGGGCTTCCGGCCGCACAGCAATCCTTCATTGGTCCGTTTATTGTGCACAGCCATATGTTAAGAGGCTTCTTCTCTGGAAATGTTGCCTCCACACCTCCTTTCTTTGGGAAAAGCAGAACCTCAGGGTCACCCTCTTATCTGGAGCGAGGGTATTCCAGAACTCTTTTCGTAAAGACATGTTCAGAAGAACAGGCCACACTAGCCCACCACTCTGTTCCCACAACAGGCAAATCAGTGGCTTCTAAAGGAAAGCGCGCGCACGCACACGCACGCACACACACACACACACACACACACACACACACGCAGGTTAGGAGAGTGATTGTACCCTTGCCCTTGTGTGAGCACCCCAGTGCTGGAGGCCCTCAGGAGAAAATGGGACCGCCATCGGTCCGATCTGCCTTGACTTCACACACACACACACACACACACACACACACACACACACACACACACACATATGCAGGTTAAGAGAGTGATTGCATCCTTGCCCTTGTGTGAGCACCCCAGTGCTGGAGGCCCTCAGGAGAAAATGGGACCGCCATCGGTCCGATCTGCTTTGACTTGGATTCCTGCCGGGGTGGGGGTGGGACTCCCAGGCTCTCTAGGCGCCTCCCAACTCCCATTGTTCTGTGATTCCCCAACCATCTCCCTTTAAGGTAGGCCTTTTACCAAACGGAATCGCTTGCTCTCCTGTTGGGAGTGCCGACTGAACTCTTCCTCCCCCCCTTTCCTCCTCCTCCCCCCCCAGGGAGGACATCCTCCAGAAGTCCTTGTGGGAGAGGGTCTCAACGCACGTGATAGAGAACATCTACCTCCCAGCGGCGCAGACGATGAACGCAGGGACGTTCAACACCACCGTGGACATCAAGCTGAAGCAGTGGACGGACAAGCAGCTCCCCAACAAAGCTGTGGAGGTGAGGGTGGCGAGAGGGGGGGGGCTCTCTGTGACGTCAGTCACGTTCAGGCCCTCCCTTGCGTGGGGCACGTAGAGGGGCTTCAGAGGAGCTGCTGTTGAGGCTTTCTGCTTTGGTGGGCACACACCCCTGTTCCCCCCTCCCCCCGGGGGGGCCTTTCCTCCGCTTCCTGTGGGGCGCTCTCTCCAAGCTGCTCAAGTCAGCCTTTCCTGAGCTGAGCTGCAACACCAGCCGTTCCCTTCCTCTAGGGACGCTTGCGGTCTTGAGCCTTTGGAATGTTTGTGAATATTCCATGTTGCACGTGAGGACGGAGGCCGTTTTTCTCCCGCAGTGGGCGTGTGCTGATCAGCCGAAGCGGGACCCTTGTTCTGTTTCGTTTGGGGCGCCCGGGCCTTCTTGGGTGAGGCCCCCTGTTCTCCAGGGTGGGTCTGGTCCCTCCGCCGTTAAGGCCGGGCTCTGTTGCTAAACTTGCAGGTTGCCTGGGAGACCCTTCAAGAAGAATTTGCCCGCTTCATGACAGAAGAGAAAGGCAAAGAGCACGATGACATCTTTGATAAACTGAAGCAGGCGGTGAAGGAGGAGAGCATCAAGAGGCACAAGTGGAACGAGAGGGCCGAAGACAGCCTGGTAGGGCTGGGCCTGGATGCGGAGAGCCTTTCCTTGAAACCTTGCCAGGGCTCGAAGGGAGGCTGGCCTGCCACCTTCCTCCCCTCCCCTTTCTTTTGGCACACCCTCAGGCTGCTCTGTGGCTCCCTGTCGGCTGTGCAGCTACCAGCCAGACCACGCTCTCCTTCTCCAGAGCCCCTTCGTCTCACCAGCCTTTCGTCTGCTGGTGGGCCTGGGATCACGAGGTGCTGATCTGAGCATTGCTTGGGAATGAACAAAAGCCACATTCCCCACCCAGAGAACCTCCATTTTTCCCAAGCTGGGGTCTCGAAGGCATTCTCCTTTCAAAACCCACGATCCTGCCACAGCTTTTCTAAGCTTGTCCTTCCCGGACCTAAACCTTTAGGCGGATGGCAGACTCTCCGTGGCTGCTTTGGGCCAAGCGAGCCTTGGGCTGGCCTGCCAAATGCCATCTCTCGGATGGGCGTTGCAGCCCGAAGGCCTTGCTTAGGCTCGTTGGGTTGGATCCAGGCCAGACTCGTCCACCTTGGGTCGCACTGGAATCCTTAACGAGCTGATGCCATTGACTCGAGCAGGCAGCCAAGGGCTGCTTCCCTCGTCCGGGGCCGTTCCACTCGGTGCCTGTCAGATTCCTTTGTCAATAGAGTTTGAGGGGCTTCCTGGAGCGCTCCGTGCGCTTGCTGAACAACTTCCCCTTAAAGCAGCAGGACAGGTTGAACACCATTGCCAGTCGTTGCTGTCTTGACTGGCGAGACCAGGGCTTCCGGACTGCAACTCCCAGAAGCCTTTGCCAGCAACCGTGCCGGCTGGGGTTTCTGGCAGTTGCCGCCTGAGGACACCTGGGCTGGGAGCCCGTGGGCTAGGCCAGCGAAGACTTTCAGAGCAGAGCCTGAGGGTTGCCCGGTTTCTTGGCAGAGAGTCATCCAGCACAACGCCCTGGAGGATCGCTCCATCTCGGACAAGCCACAGTGGGATGCGGCCATTCAGTTCATGGAGGAAACGCTTCAGAGCCGCCTGAAAGACAGTAAGTCTCCCTGGAAAGCCCTCCACGTCCTCCATGGGGTCACCTCCTCTGGTGAGAGCCCAGTGGCTTTCCCTCCACGTGCACCTCTCTTCCTGTTGGCCCGCCCCCTTGCTGACCGTCCCTTTTCTCTCCTGCCCTTGGGGGTTTACTGCCGGGGGGGTGGGGAACCCAAGTCATCCTTTGGTGTGGTCTTGCAAATACGGAAGGTTGTTTCCTTCTGTCTTTGTTTTCCCAGCTGAATCCGTCATCGAAGACATGGTGGGCCCGGACTGGAAGAAAAGGTGGCTCTACTGGCTGGCATGCACCAAAGAGCAGGTAAAAGGGTGGAGCCTTGGGGAGGGGGGGAGAGAAGGGTGGGGTGGGGCGGCGTGGCTGTGCTCCGCTTGCCTCGAAGCCTCCCCCCCATGTCCTTCCACTCTGCTGCCTCTTTTGAGCCCAAGTGAGATTCTTGGGCTTAATATGGAACCCAGGGCAGTGGATGGGAGCGTTCGGATCTGCTCAGGGTCCTTGCGGCTCCCCCTGTGTGCGATTCGGGCTTTCCCGTGGAGTCACAAAGACTGCTTTCCTTCCGTGTCTTGTTACAGTTTCCAAAGCCAGCGTGGTGTCCGCTTGTGTTCTGTGTGTTTTCCAAAAGAGAAATAAATCATCCCACAAAAGAAATTCATCGTGCCACATATGCTTTTTTCTTTTCTTTTCTTTCTTTTTTTCCGTGTGAAGCAGTGGGAAAACAGTATAAAATAAATGCCTCTGGATTATGTCGGGCGTTTATTTTATGTTTGTGCCTGACTTCCTCTGCCACTTGTAGGAAGTGGGTCCGGGGCAGGTGGTGGGCTGCAGTGACACACCCCCCCCGGGTACCGGAGTTAAAGCATTAAAGTCGTTAGGGAGGTGGCCTAGGTTTTGAGGCTTTTCAAGAGGGGGGGAGGCGTTTGCCTGATGGTTCTTCGTCCAGATCGGTCTGCACCCAAACGATAGGCTTTGGAATCAGGGAGGAGAGAGCAGAGCAGCGGTACAGGGCACGAATGAGCAATCTTTTTCTCTCTCTCTCTCCTTTAAGAGTGTCCGAAATGAAACAAAAAATGAACTTGAGAAGATGATAAAGTGCAACGAAGACCACCCGGCTTACCTTGCGAACGATGAGGTCACAACTGTCCGGAAGAACCTCGAAGCCCGAGGAGTCGCCGTTGATCCGTGCTTGGTAAGGCATCTCCAGCCGCCGACAGGCAAGCGAGCCCCTCTTCTTGCTCCGGAGTCGGTCGGTTGGAGGAGAGAGGCAGCTTTAAACGGGGAGGTTGCATCCCAGGTATTCAGGATTGTTCTTGTGAGCAGAGCGGAGTGGTTGCCAGGTGTTTCTCCCATTGCCAGAGGGGGAGAGGATTGTTTACACCCTAATTGCTATGGGGGGGAACAGGGAGAGGGGGAGGGCGAGGGTACTGTTGCAAGGGCTAGAACGGATAGCCTTCCCTGAACACAGGCCCCAGCCTTCCTCCGATGAAACCTGTCTTTGTGAAAGTCTCCCCTGGTGCCCGTGGAGGCCTCTAAGAGGCCGCTTTTCGGGTGAGCTCACATCTGGGTGCCCAAAGGCTTATCCCGGCGTGCAGCAGCCCTTCTCAAAGAAGCACCCACCACCACCACCTCTGAGAGCCACCTTTGTCTGGCCAAGGGACAGGATCCCCGCTTGCGCCCAACCTCCCTGGTGGCTGGACTTGAGAGCATCAGGCGGCTCTTTCTCCCACTGGGGGTCCTCTGGGTGTGGCGCGTGCGCTTGGCCCTTCCCTACACCCTCCGGGCTTGTGGTGAGGATGCAGCCGAGGCAGGCGTGAAGGAACCCCAGCAAGCAGCCTCCAGCCAATGGACACCTGCACCCCTGCACTTGCTCTTCTGTGGCTGGTCCGAGTGTCCGGACGCAAGAGGGGTGTCTCCGGATCCTTTCTTGGCTGTGGGGAGTTGCCCTTTCAGGCTCTCTCCGGAACTGGGATGAACGGGGGCGTAGCAAATGAAGAGAGTGCTCGCTCTCGCTCTCGCTCTCTCATCCCTGCGACGGGAGCAGGCCTTCTTGCCTAGTTTATTGGAGAAGGATGCTGTTCCAGACCATAAAGACGCCTTACCTTCTTGTGCTTGATGTGAACCAGTGGAAGTCAGACGAGCGCTGCTTTCGGCCTGCAGATGAGAGTCTGGCAGCGATGTCAGCGCGGATTGTCATGCTGCCTGCAGTGAAGAGAAAATAAATTTCACAACAGTGGAACAGGGTGCAGGCCTTCAGTCTTAAAAGAAGCAGCCATGCCAAGTGAGAGGGAAGGGTTTTCCTGCCCCTTCCAATCTCCAGGCTTTTTGCCTGCCTTTGAGCACACCTCCTTTTTAATCCTTGCATGTGGCTTCTGTCAGGAGAGGCACCTGGAATGCAAAATGAGTGTGTGGACAGTTCAGTCATGAGAACGGGGATAGCTTTCAGGAGAGCTTTCCAGCCAGTGGCCGGTGGGGAAGGCAGAGTGCTTTTCTAGAGTCTGTGTGCCGCCCTTGTAGCCGGATGGTGTCCAGATGAGCCGGCTGCGTGCTCTTTGCCAGCAACCGGCAAGGCTTCCAGCCGCTCATAAAGGCAGAGAATGTTGATCTGAGCCCTTGTGCAGCAGGGGTTTGCTGGCACGCCTGCTCCAGCCCAGCCTGGACTCCAGCCAGTTGTGACCAGATGTTTCTCCTTCTCTCTCTGGCCTCAGATTAAAGACACCTGGCACCAGGTTTACCGGCGGCATTTCTTGAAGAAGGCCTTAGGCCACTGCAATCTCTGCCGGAGAGGCTTTTATTACTACCAGAGGCATTTTGTGGACTCCGAGGTGAGTAGAGGAGCCTGTGGCTTATGGGTGCGCAGGAATGGCAGCGCTCACTGACGGCTGGCCAGAAAGGGGGGGGGGGAATTGTCCCTCCGTACCTTTTAGTGCCTGCACCCTCTGCAGAAAGGCAGACAGGTCTGCCTGTGTCTGTGCGTGCGCACACATGCACGGAGGGAGGGAATGGCCCTGTTGGGAGGCTCCAGCAGATGGCAGTCTTGGCCTCTGCCTTGGGGGGATCCTTTTGTGGATTGAAGAGGCTGCTCCAGCTCCCTTCCTTACTTGGCCCCCACGGGCGCTTCCAGGGCATCTCTGCTGGGCTCCTGGCATGCCCAGGCACAGGTTTCCCACTCGAATCTGATGCGCCAGAGAGGGCTGCAGGGAAGTGGTTTCCAGGGGTGTCAATGAACTGCCCTCCTGACAGGCAGCCTCCTCCTCTGTACTCTTCCCCACCTCCTGGGGTGACCTCCTCTCTTCCCCCTCCCCGGGACTCCCTCCTCCCGCAACAACTTGGGCCACTGGACCCCCTTGAGTTCATCCTCACGAGTCACGGGGCCCACGTCCTTGGGGCTGACTTGTGACTCTGTGGGTTTCAGCTGGAATGCAACGACGTCGTCCTCTTCTGGCGGATTCAGCGGATGCTGGCCATCACCGCCAACACTTTGAGGCAGCAGCTGACCAACACGGAAGGTAAGGGGCCACTCGGGTTGCCCTCTTGGGTGGGGCTGCTGTGCCCACAGCTGCTCCTGGGACCCTTTCTCCCCTCTCCAGGGGTAGCCGTGGTTCTAGTGAGCAAAGAGGAAGGTGGGGAGGGCCCTTTAGACCGAGCCTGCTCTTTCCTTCCTTCCTTCCTTCCAGCAGATGTTTGCTTCTGAGCACACGATTCCTGCCTCAAGGAGTCCCTCCATCATTATTTTTTCCCCACCAGGTATAAAAATAGTTTTGCTAACTAACCATGTGGCTTTTCTGTAGTGAGGCGCCTGGAGAAGAATGTAAAAGAAGTGCTGGAAGATTTTGCTGAGGACCCCGAGAAGAAAACCAAGTTGCTAACGGGGAAAAGAGTCCAGCTGGCAGAGGACCTGAGTGAGTATCTCTCTGGCCCAGAAGCCCCAAGCCTGCTCTCTGGGACAGCTGGTCCCTCCGTTCTGGGGATTCTGGGTCTTCACAGACAGACTGCTGTGGCCTCTCCGGGAACGGCTTCCCTCTGAGGTGGGTTGGCTCATGACTCCTTGGTTTGAACCACCTTTGGAGGGGAGTGTTGAGGAGAGCCTTTTGCGCAAGGCACATGGTCTTTTCTGTCCTCCTGCTTCCCAGCACCGGCAGGCCAGCTGCATTTCATGTGCCTGCCTTTAGGAGGGGCTCCTCTGCTGCCCCTCGGAGGGCTAAAGGGCAGGTCACACGTAGCAAGCAAGTAGGTAGGGCTTTGTTTCGCTTTGGTGGCTTTCTTGGCTGGGTGGTGCTCCTCTCCATCCCAGGAAAGGCACCGCGGGGCCTTCCTCTCAAGGAGGTGGCAGTCGAAGCGCACAGCAGCCTTTGGGGGGGGAGACCCTAAGTGTTTGCCGTTTCCTCTCCAGTTGAGTTCTTAAGACAAAGCCGCCTTCAGTCAACAAAGCCGCTCTCCTGTTGGGACACGCCACCGGATCCCGAAGGCTTGTTCCGTTGCCAAGGGACTGTCGGCAACACGGTGATGAGCGAAGGGCTTCTTTGTGGTCGCGCGCTTGCGCTGGGGTCCCCCTGGAGGGGGCGGCGCGTCTTTGGCTGTCAGGAGGCTGCCGTGAAACGGTCCGGTGCTCGTTGGCTGTGAGCCCTTGGTTCCTGTTTCGCCTTCAGCCTTCGGGGCTTTGGGAAGTGGACTAGGCACACTAGCACATTGACTAGTTTCAGTTCCCCACTGGTGTGGTGGTTGTGGTTGAGGCCCGTGACACGTGGTAGGTGAGGGCTTGCTTGCGAAAGGCAAGAGGCACGGCTTTTTGAAGAAGCCGTGTGGTAGGACTGGTCTCATATTTTCTGGGAGGTGGAAAATTTACGGTAGGATGCTGTCGTCTTACCTACATCAGTGTTTTGGAATGTACGTTGCCTCTGTATCGTTTAATATTGTGAGGCCAAGATAAGCGTGGCATTTGGCTGGACTTTTGGGGAAAGGGTGGGCAAAGGGGTTGCAGGGCACCGTGCGCCACTCGGACACTCTGGCCCGCCTGTCCTCCTTCCAGCTGCTGAGCTGCAAGAAGGTTTGCCCAAGAATTGGCCTTTGTCGTTTGGCCCCTGTGGAGTCCCAGCAGTTGACTCCTGCCCCTGGTGCAGCAGGACAGTTTTTCAGGCCTGCAAACGGCAGGTTTGTCTCACGCCGGCCTGTTGTCCTAATAGGAGACTTTGGGGGGGGGGTGTTAGAAGGGCAGAAGGAAGCACAATTATTGTTTGGGAGCCCAGGTGAATGAGGTGTGAAAAGTGCGACTCTGTTTCATATGCGTTTTAAATGTTAGCGGAGTGACCCCAGTCTGGATGGGGGCTGCCTGGGGTCTCTGCTCTTCCTTGACCCGCCGCATACCTGACAAGAATCCTCCCTCCCCCACTGAGTTCTTGGGCGGGGCGGGGGGGCAGCATGAGAGCCTCTTCACGTGGTGATCTCTGATTTGCTGGGCTCCTAATTTTGGTCCTGGAGGGTGAATCGGGTGCCTCGAAGGGGAGGAGGGCTTTGTCTGCCCTTCTGAGGGCAGCAGGTGGGGCGATCTCTTGGTAGGAGGGGTCAGCCCCAGGAGAGACAGGTATGCTGCCGCCACCACCCCATGCCCGACCCCCTGCCTCTGTTGGCTGTCTTTTGCCCCTGGGGGCAGAGCCAGGAGCATCTTTCGCCTTTCCTGCCTCCTTTTCCCTGGGTGGGGCTCGCCTGGGCTTTGCCCCCCCCCCCGGTGAGCTCCCGCTCTGCCTTTGGGAGCTTCTCGCCTCATTGTGACATGATTTGGACTCTTCCCCAGGCAGGGACTTTGCAGGGCCCCGTCTCGTGGCCTTCCTTGGCAGCCTTGAGAGGTTTGTTAATTCTTTTTTTTTAAGGAGATAATAAAAATAAAACACAAGTAAAATGCTTTGGCCCACTCGAGCCGAACAGCCTTGCTGTTCAAAATAGTTCTGAAATGTCTGCTCTGTTCCTGTTTCAGGGGCCGATAGCCCTCGGGTGTTTTCTCCCCTTCTCCACCACCAGCAGGACCGCCCTATTTTCCCTGTTTTTAAAAACATGACATTCAGAGAAGAAGGATCTCTTGGCTCCATCTGCGCCAACATTCTTGTCTTGAAGTAGGGAGGTGGTGGTGGTGGGGGGTGTTGCAGTCTGAAATGCTGAGACCTCCAGAATGTGGGAAGGGGAAAGGATGGAGCCCCCCCTCCCGGGAAGGCGGACACCTGGGCAGATGTGCCAAGCAAGTCGGGACTTGGTTCCCCACAAAGGGAGCCAAGCGGTGGGGAGGGCGGAGGGTAGAGCCCCTAACCCAAAAGCCTCCCTTCCCTCCTGCAGGCCCATGATTCTTGTGGGAGGTTGCAGAAGGTGTGTGTGTGTCTCCCTCTTCCCCCCCCCCCCACCAAAAAGCTTTGGGGTTGGATCCACTCTTGACAATGACCAGCTCCCCTCCGGCCTCTTGGGTTGCTTTTAGCATCTGGACAGAATCAGAGGGGTGGGTAAAGGGGTTGGGGGTCCAAAGGACAAGATGTTTGTGCTCTTGAGGGGGCAGATTTGCTTTTGCCTGAACTTTCCTAGATCAGAATGGATCCCCAGGGTCCCGACAATGGGCAAAGCCACAGGGCCTCTTTCACACAGGAAAGGGACTATCAAGGCCTTAAAGACATACTAATTAATTTACATGGCAGGCCATTAGTGGGATAATGAGCTGTTTGCCCGGTAGCTTTGGCAGTCCTAGGAATGCTAAGAGTTCTGTCTAGGGCAGGGCCCCAGGTCTGTGGAGGGAGAACATCCTTATGGCAAAAGAAGTTGCAGAAAATATGCCTAGTATGCTAGGAAGCCTTGATCTCTATCAACGCCCTGAAAGATCGAGTGGAGTTTGTTTATGCAGCCTGTTTTGGCCTTCTCCCAGAAGGGCCTCCCTTTGCCTTTCCCTTTTTCTATTGTTGCCTCTTTGAAATTCACGACACTGTGTCTTAGGAGGCTGAAATGGACAAGAGCTGTGTGTGCCAGTGGATTGTAGGGTCCATTGTCTTTAGCCACTGGGGACACACGGCTTGTCCCCCATGGGACAAGCATGCAGCATGCTGGCTGCAACACACACCCCTTTTCCCATGTTCACAGGCTGGTTTCGCCCTTTACTCACTAAAGCTGGCCACTTTGGATATAGCCAGCTGCACCCGCTTTAAAAGGCATGTAAGGTCTGGGCATGGGAGCACATCAAACACTCCACCTGGCACACCAGATGACCTAATCAAGTGGGGGTTTTAACCCCTTCCCCTGAGGCGCCCAGTCCGCCGGCAGCTGAGCCGCAGAGGCTCCTTGGAAGAACATCTGCTCTGGGGTCCCTGAGAGCCGGGGGGCTCGTGAGAGCAGCAGCCCCTTTCCCCTCTTCCAACCTCTCCTAGCCCAGGTTTCCTTGCCGATTTCCCCCATTCGTTGCCTTTGTGTGCAGGCTCCGTGTTTTCCCTGCAATTAAAAAGGGTGCCGGAGTCGAGCTGGCAAGACACCCTGTGGACCGACCGGAGAGCTGCCGACTGGAGGGCCTCTCGGATGAAAACACTCAGTCCCCTCGGTGGCATTTTGCCCTGCTGTTCTGTTTTCACGAATTTCCTTTTTAATGGGGACATGGAAGCGGGCCGATGTTTTGGCTGTTCTTGAATTTGCTCTTTGATCTCCTTTCCGTCTCTGCCGTTCTTAAGCGCAGCGTTGCCGTTGTTAACTCCCGTTGCCTCTCCGCCGGCCTGTGTGATTTCATTTGGTCTGCGCTGAAATGCAAAATCCAGATGGGGGAACTGTTTATTTACAGATTTGTTAGCATTTCATTCTTGGGTACGGGAAGGTGAATGACAGCTGGCTCAGCTCCCTTGACTGCAAAGTGAATCTGGAGCATCTGTTCCAAAACTGGCTTGTGTGGCATCAGGACTGGGGGAGAAAGCCAGGGTATACAAGCTCAGGTCAGCCATGGTAGTAGAAGTGGCAGAGAGGTGGAGCAGGTCCTTCTTGGGGCAGCAGCACTAAGCCAAGGACACACACACACCCCTTTTAGAAAAGGCAGTGTTTCTGAAATTCTGCCTTTTCTAAAGGGGTGACATGGAGGGAGAGAGATTAGCGTTTCCTCCTCTTAAGCCTGGGTCCCATTGGGGTCCTTGAGTGAATCTGATGTGCCCTGAAAGACTCAGGACAGACAAAAAGGAGGATCCCTTCACACACCGTGGCAGAGTTAAACTCTGGGACTCACTCCCAGGGTACGGGAAGGTGAATGACAGCTGGCTCAGCTCCCTTGACTGCAAAGTGAATCTGGAGCATCTGTTCCAAAACTGGCTTGTGTGGCATCAGGACTGGGGGAGAAAGCCAGGGTATACAAGCTCAGGTCAGCCATGGTAGTAGAAGTGGCAGAGAGGTGGAGCAGGTCCTTCTTGGGGCAGCAGCACTAAGCCAAGGATACACACACACACACCCCTTTTATAAAAGGCAGTGTTTCTGAAATACTGCCTTTTCTAAAGGGGTGGCATGGAGGGAGAGAAATTAGCGTTTCCTCCTCTTAAGCCTGGGTCCCATTGGGGTCCTTGAGTGAATCTGATGTGCCCTGAAAGACTCAGGACAGACAAAAAGGAGGATCCCTTCACACACCGTGGCAGAGTTAAACTCTGGGACTCACTCCCACAAAGTGGTGGCCACCAACACGCGTGGCTTTAAAAGGGGACGTGACAGATCCCTTTCTAGTGCCAAGGGTGGCATGACCTCTGTGTGTGAACCTTGCTAAAGAAATGGGAGGAGAAGAACTGAACAGTGGTACAGTTGAACTTGGGGGAATGAGAGGGAGCCCATATGTGTATAAAACCACCTGTGAAACATTTTTTCTCTAAATAAAAACATTTGCAAAGTTTAAGAGAGCTTAAAGGTATGCCACAAA